AAACAGATCACCAGCCCAGGTTGGGTGCATGAGACAAGTGCTCGGGCCTGGTGCACTGGGAAGACCCAGAGGGATCGGGTGGAGAGGGAGGTGGGAGGGGGGGGCAGGATGGGGAATACGTGTAAATCCATGGCTAATTCATTTCAATGTATGACAAAAACCACTGCAATGATGTAAAGTAATTAGCCTCCAACTAATAAAAATAAATGAAAAAAAAAAAAGAAATAAGAAGTCTCATAGTGGTCCTAGACAGTCTATAAAATCCAGTGGCAAAACCAAGAAAAGCATTTGCCTCCTATGTTATGTTTAATGTTTTTAATATTAGTCATTTGGTCAGAAACTTAATGACTTTTCCAAATGTCCCTAGTTTTCAGATCAATGTCTAAAGGAGTGGGTTGCTCTCTTCACCTTCTTAGAGAAAGTTCAGGTTAAAATAAGAGAAATTCATCATAAAATACAAATAATATTGCTCTATTACTAATTCTTTCTTTCAATTTCAGTAAAATCTCAAAGTGCTTCATTTTCCAATCTAAACATTTTATCAATATATATGTTGCATTTAATTTCATGAGTATGGAAAGTCCTCAGCCAAAAATAAAAGCAAAGTTAAAGATTAATGCAAATAGTGGCCTTGTTTTAGCCTGACCTCAGTATCTCTAAAATCATGAGAATTATTGTGAATTGCCTAAATGTCTGGACACAGGCTTAAATTTTTAATACTCCCATCTAAAAACTATGAACCATTTTTCTTCTAATTTGACTTCATTTTCTTTGCTCAATGAGAACGCTACTCACATTCAATTTGAAGTTTATGGCTTCGGCTCTTTGAGTTATATAAGCCTCAAAAGGTCAGAGCACTTTTCTTAGAGCAGAAAGTAAGTTTTTTCACCCTCACATGACTCAAATATGGCTAAAGTGACCCAACGGAAGCTTTAAAAAGACTCACATACCTGTTGGTTTGGAAAGTTTTAACCTAAGAAAATATAATCCATAACCTAAAAATGACTTTTCAATAGCATGTGTCAGGGAGGGGAAATTTCCTTCTCTACCCCTCTGGAGTTCTTGAGGCTGGACTAATAATAAAACTGATATAAGACAGATTAACCGGAGAAAAAGTAACAAATTTTAATTCATCCACATGTAGATCAAAGACACGGGACTTAAGAAGTGGTCATCACAGGCAGCTTTCATACGTTTTAGACAGAGAAGGAATAAAATTGTGAGGAACTGCCAAGACAAAGAAATTTAGGCTCTGAATGCTCAGTTAGTGAAGAATCTGGAGCCTGGACTTGGGGGAGTAAATTAAAGAAATCACAAGGTTTGTTTATAAACACACTGTCTCTGGAGGTAAGGGTGTCCTTCTACCTCCAGACGTGTGAAGGGCACTTTTCACATGAGAGATATATATCCTCCTTTCATGGAGACAGAAGGAGAGTCAGAGTGTCCCTTTTGAATTGGCTGTTACTTGAGTGGATTTAATTCAAAAATAACCAATGTGTGGTACATACATACAATGGAATATTCCTCAGCCATCAAAACGAACAAATTTGAGTACATTGTAGTGAGGTAGAGGAACCTAGAGCCTGTTATACAGAGTCAAGTAAGTCAGAAAGAGAAAAACAAATATAGGATATTAATGCATACATATGGAATCTAGAAAAATGGTATTGATGAATGTATTTCCAGGGAAGAATGGAGACACAGATGTAGTGAATGGACCTGTGGACACAGTGGGGTAAGGGGAGGGTGGAATGAATTGAGAAAGTACCACTGACATATATACACTGCATGCGTGCATACTAAGTCGCTGCAGGGTGTCGGACTCTGTGTGAGCCTATGGACTGTAACCTGCCAGGCTGCTCAGTCCATGGGATTCTCCAGGCAAGAATCCTGGATTGGGTTGCCATGCCCTCCTCCAGGGGTTCTTCCAGACCCAGGGATCAAACTACCATGTGTAAAACAGATAGCTAGTAGGAAGCTGCTGCATAGCGCAAGGAGCTCAGCCTGGTACTCTGTGATGACCCACAGGGGCAGGATGGGGGTGCGACGGAGGCTCAAGAAGGAGGGTACATATATCATATATAGTTTTATAGGTATATATAGTTATAACTGATTCTCGATGTTGTATGGCAGAAACCAACACAACATTATAAAGCAATTATCCTCCAATTAAAACTTTTTCAAATAATAATAATAACCAATGCCATTATGGCATATTTGGGGCAGCCGAACATGTTTCATATTACCTTGATTACATGTTCTGTAGTAACATATACAATCATTTATCTTTTTTTTTTTTTGCCGGAACTAGCCACTTATGGGCTCTTAGTTCCCTAAGCAGGGATCAAACCTGGGCCCTCCACTGTGAAACTGTGGAGTCCTAACCACTGGACCACCAGGGAATTTCCAAAACTTACAAAGTTTTAAACTCACAAATTTTAAGAATTTAATACAATTATTTTTGCTTGATTTTCAATACTTTTTCCAGAGGTAAAAAAGGAATTTATTAATGGATTAATAATGTTTTAAGTAAAACTATTCATTTGAAATAAGACTGATAGGCATAAAGCAGCTATATATGTCTCCCACTGTCCTTCAATTTAATCCTATCCGAAGCTAGTTTCTCCTACCTCCTTAGATAAAAATTAGGGCAGTTTCAAGAGTTTTTCTGGATTTGCTTGGGTAAGAAATATTCCTCTCATGACTCTGGTCCCCCAGTCTCAGTCCATTTATAAAACGTTCACTCTCTGATTGCTGTTGTTGTTTAGTCTTCAAGTCATGTCCAACACTTTTGCAACCCCATGGACTGTAGCCCACCAGGTTCCTCTGTCCATGGGATCTCCCAGGCAAGAATACTGGAGCAGGTTGCCGTTTTCTTCTCCAGAGGATCTTCCTGGCCCAGGGATCAAACCTGTATCTCCTGCATTGGCAGATGTATTCTTTACCACTGAGACACCAGGGAAGTCCTCACTCTCTGCTGCTGCTGCTAAGTCACTTCAGTCGTGTCCAACTCTGTGTAACCCCATAGAAGGCAGCCCACCAGGCTCCCACTCTCTGGTACTTGTTAAATTTCCAACTGTTCTTAGAGTTCTTCCCATGTGCAGTTGGGCCTGATTCAGGTTGAACACTGACAGTGACAAAGATGAGTGTGATGCTTTCACTTTTTCTCCACCAGCACTACCCCTTTCCTCTCCACCATCCCCAACTCAGCTCCAGCTGGGCCCTCGGATCTCTCGGGGTTGGAGAGGAGCAGAAGAAGAGGAGGGTAAGAGCTACAATATGGTGTGACACTGTCTTCTGAAGACCTGCATAGCTGACTACCTCTCCTGGGCTCTTCAGTGGGTTCTTGGACAGCAGAGGACTTCTTAACTTGTAATCCCAACATGCTGGGAAAGGTGTCATCTTAGACCGACAGCTTACACCTCCTCCCTCAACCGCCACCTGTCTGTGCTTCTCCAGGATCCTCTTGGTGGACCCCTCCAGATGGACCTCGGGGCAGATCTCAGATGATCTCTACCAATTCTCTCTCTTTTGCTGCTCACAGATACCACTGGCATGTTATTGCACAAATTTTGAGTGTATAGCCTATCCCCTACCCAGTAACCAATATTCCCCATTCTGCCAAAGCAGGCAAGCAGTACCAGACCTGAAGCAGTATCATTCCCTAGGCATGAGAGGGAGAGTCAACCCTTCCTCCTCTCCCTTTGGAACTTCTTAACTTTCCCCCAAATTTCTTGTGTCCAACTCCCCTCTGAGTCTCTTCATCAATGCTTATAGGTTGGAAACAGGTGACCAGCTAAGGGTTACCAAACCATTTCTCAGACAACGTCTTCACAATTGCTTCCTTAGTAGTCTGGAACTCTGTGCACACCCATTGTTTTGGGACCTGAGCCAGAACTGATCACATTTTTAAACATCTTGTTCTTAACACTTTTGCAACACCTGCCAAAAAGATTAAAATACCCTGGAATGTAACAAAGCTAGGACTGGAAAATGTGGTAGTAAGCATTCAATTTATACTGTTTTAAATCATAGTATCTGGTTGAGGAAAGATACAATCAGAACTTCATGCTATTTTCAGACCAGGGAATCCAGGGTTCCCAGATAACAAACGCAACTGGGACCATAGAGACAATGGACAAGAGGTAGACAACAGAGACTGAACGATTATAAAAAATTTGATCCTGAAAGGGAATCTAGGCAGCAGGAAAGAAACTGTTACAGATAAAGGAAATCAATCAGAAGCCAGTGGAAGACCCACTGGCACTCCTGGAGCACCTCAGGGAATGCCTGCCACTGACCCTGAGTCACTGGAAGGGAAGGCAATCTTGTTGTATTTCATTTCCCCAAGTGCCCCCAACACTAGGCATAAGCTTCCTACCTCTCACCTGGTCAAGACTGCCTACCAGGTGTTTAATAACAAGACATAAAGGAGGATAAAAAGCCTGGACGCAAGGCCACCTACTGGCTGTGTCCCTCCAAGGTCAGTCGGTCAGCAGTAAAATCTGGACTAACCACCCATTAGAGACTCTTGATTCCAGTGAGTAAGCCCTGGCTCCCATCAAGGGACACCCAGCCAAGGAAATAAGGACCCAATCAGTACACCCCACATAAACAAGAGGGACACTGGGAAAGAGAACATCTTCACTGTCCCCACATGGGGATGTAAATGGCAGGTCCCAGCCACTACACTTGAATGCAGATGGTCCAAATAGACTAAGCACAATGGGGGTGGAGGCAGCCCTAATGACCCCAAAGAGCCCCAGCTGATACTGGACATGAAGAAAGTCTGTCAAATTCTTAGTCGACACCAGTGCCACCTACCCGGTTTTGAACACCAGACTGAGCAAACTCAGTCATGATGGTTGTAAACCTACGGGGGTATCAGGGAAGGTCTAAGAAGAGGCATCCACAGAACCTTTAGAATGCCATCCTTTCCTATATGTACAGGTTGGAGACTGGCATCCCCCTTAAACAAAGGGCACAGTATGATAATATTAATGGCTGAGGGCAAACCTCCATGGACAGAGCAAATCCATCTGCCCAGAGTAAACTCCAAGGTCGGGGCTCACAGGTAGGTGAGATGAGCTGCAAATGTTACTTCATGGAACTTTTTTTTTTGTAATTTGAAGTAATTATTCAAATTACCTGTTTCACATGGGTGATTTGTAATAGGTTCTACCTTTACCATTTCACGTATGTTTTTAAGTGAGCAATCTACATCTATACTCTACTCTATAGACATCGAGTGTTTGTAACAGTCTCTTACTAGCCTCTTGATGTCTATAGGTTTAGCGTAAAATAAAAATTCAATCCAGTAGATATTAAAGATCACATACATTAGCTTTATATGGTTTCTCTCTACGGTGGAGCCTTTTATTGAAATACAATTGATTATAATATGACTCATTTTGGCTATACTACATAAAGAGGTATATGCGTGCATGCTAAGTCACTTCAGTCGTGTCCAGCTATGTGACCTATGGACAGTAGCCCACCAGGCTCCTCTGTCCTTAGGGATTCTCCAGGCATGAATACTGGAGTGAGTTGCCAGGCCCTCCCCCAGGCATCTTCCCAACCCAGGGATCGAAGCCACATCTCTTAAGTCTCCTGCGTTGGCAGGCGGGTTGTTTACTACTAGTGCCACCTGGGAAGACCCACATAATGAGGTAACATTTGCATTTGCTTTATAATAAGGAGCCAATCCCATGATAGTCCATCAAACACCTGGACATTCCCACCCACCAGACATGAGCATCTCTTTGTAGAGAGGCCTTGTTTGGTACTGCCTCGTGATACAGGGCCTAGTTGACCAGGGCCTTGTTACCTCAGGCTAGTCAGCCTGTTAACTCTCCATTCTCCCCACAATGAAATGCACTGGGGAATGAAGGGTGGTACAGGACCTCAGTGCAGTCAGTGAAGACTGCCCCCCCATATATACCAGTGGTCCCCAATCCCTACACCCTGCTGGTTGCTCTACTGTTCACCAGGACCTGGTTCTGTATTAGACCCACATGAAGCTCTTCTTCCAAAAACCAACAAAACAATACACCAGGGATATTCAGGCCTCAACGCCAGGAAACACTCACTTCCAGGCAAAAGATGTAGATACCTTCATTTTTTTTAGGAAAAATTTGACATGTGACCATTATTCCTTTGCTAATATTTGAGCCATGCATACTAAATTGTCTAGAGTCCTTTGTCTTCAAAAGGTGAGACAGATGGTGTTTGCTCAGGGAGACTGGGGCCTGAGGACCACTAAACACCTCTGAAGGTGGCTGAGGAGAAGGTCTGCTCCTCCACCCGCGGGTATAACGACACCCCCACTCAGAAGGCTGGGACAAATTGAGGGCAAGAGGAGAAGGGGGCAACAGAGGATGAGATGGTTGGATGGCATCACTGACTGGATGGACGTGAGTCTGAGCAACCTCAGGGAGATAGTGATGGACAGAGAAGCATGGCGAGCTGCAGTCCATGGGGGTCCCAAAGAGCTGGACACGACTGAACAACGAACAACAGAAAATGCAGCTGCGTCCCTGAGAGTGAGGAGCAGGACAAAAGGCAGAGGAGGGGTTTGTCACCAGCAAAGCCCATTCTCAGCTTCCAGGGACTCGAGTGGGAGTGATAAAATACTCTAACCTTTTTCTTTTCCTTTGTGCTTAGCCTCTCTCACTGGCTCGTGGGGCGCTGCGTGCAGAGGCCTCACACCTGGCACCTGACGTCAGAGTTCCTCTTGCAAAATGGCTGCCCCGACACCTCACCTGGGCGGGCCGTGTGCAGAGACCGTGCCCACCACCCCGCAATCCGGATTGGGGGCGGCGGACCGTTTGCAGAAGCGCTGTGCCCGGCACTGCCGTCTAGAGCCCGGATCTGCACACCCGGGCCTGCCTCGCGAGAACCGCGCCCCCCCCACGAGATTCCCGTGCAGCAGCCTGTCCGCGCACCAGGACCCACGCCTGTCCGCAAGAGCGCGTGCTCCCAGCAGGAGCCTGCCTCTCTCCAATCTGCGATGAAAGAAAACATTTTTACCCTTTGCTTCTCAACTCAACTCTGTCTCGTTCCGCTGCCTCAAAGAACACGGGACAGGAGGACCCTCGTTGGAGAGCAACTCGAAAGGTTAGGTGACATTAATCATCAGTCCTCAGAATCAAACCAGTCTGGGGTCTTTGTGCTTTTCAGCAAGTAACAGCATCCTCCACCTGGGTGGGGGAAGGGAGGGGTGTTCGTTCCAGCAGAACAGCTCAAAGGTGTGTGTCAAGTTGTTCCTCTCTTGCGGAGGAACTAGGTATCTGTTTTATCACCGTACTAGGTTCTCTACCGCTTTTCCTTTGTTTCTGCATTCACTCGCTCTCCTAATTGCAACTGCTCCTGCCTGCTCTTTGGAACTCTGGAAAGGCCTAAGGGACTAAAATCTTTTTCTTACAAACATGAAGTGGGGGACCGAAGTGGGCTTTTATATTCAGGAAGGTTCCCCCAGTTTCAATCACCTCCTCTTTGCTTTGATACTTCTCAATCCTGGGGAAAACAGAGGTGAGACAAGAAAAGGAATAAGGTTTTGGACAGAGAGGTTAATTATCAGCTCGGCAGAGGAACTCAGTTTTAGGGGAACTTGGTGGCAAGACACATACACAGCTGGGGAATGTTAAAGTTGGTAGTGTCAAAGGTGACTATAAATATCAAGTTCAATTCTTTTCAAACTTTGGAAACACAGAATTCCAAAGGAATGCCTCAGGGTCCCCACCAGAAATAAAGGGACAACTGATCATGTGACTTAGGAACTTTGCTCTGCAGCTTTAAATGGAACAGCTTAAATTTAATGTTTAATTAGGAGACTTCCACAAAATGTTTTTTTTTTAAGAGTCCTCATGCAGGAGCCTGGACTACCCTGTAGCTCAAATGATAAAGAATCTGCCTGCAATGCAGGACACTCAGGTTCAATCCCTGGGTCAGGAGGATCCCCTGGAGGAGGGACTGGCAACCCACTCCAGTATTCCTGCCTGGAAAGTTCCACGGACAGAGGAGCCTGGCGGGCTACAGTCCATGGGGTTGCAGAGTCAGATGACCGAGCACGGCAGCAAACAACTGGGAAACAAAAGGCTGCTAAAAAGCAGAGCACTTATTTACAAGAGCCACCAAATGGCCTTTGCTTTCTTATTGCATCACCATCGTGGTCTGCAGTACCAACTCCACACATGTTGGATGAGTTAGGCACTTGCCCAAGACAACACTAGAGAAGGCAATGGCAACCCACGCCAGTATTCCTGCCTGGAGAATCCCACGGACAGAGGAGCCTGGCATGGGGTCACAAGAGTCAGACATGACTTAGTGACTAAACCAACCACCACCCCAAGACAACACCACTGATCAGTGCTAAGCAGAGACTAGAACCGAGGTCTGCAGATTTGCAGCCCAGGGTTATGACTGCCGTTGTCACACTACTTACAGTTCTTATGGTCCTACGTTCAATAAATACTTGCTGAATAATTGCACTAATCCGCTCCATAGAAAAATCGATGTGCACTTCCAGGAAAATATATTCAGCCCCATTGTCATGGTTGGTCATGGCTTTTCCCCAGACTTAGCTTTAGGTTGATTTGGGACAGAGGGTTCCCTTGGTGGTGCAACTTGAAGAGGAGTGGCTGTGGTGACACCATGGAGAACCCAATTCCAAGTCTTTTGATAGAGATTTCTGTTTATCGCAGACTTCTGTTCTTTCAGTACAAAATTTTACATCACCAGAAGTCCCTTTTTCTCATGCAAATGCTCCTGGGTAGACCAATTCATTGTCATTATCAAAATGAATTAGAACAGTGATTCAAAAAAATGGTGCACAGTTTTTATCTAGGGCTCTCCTTACAAAGTAACTTCTGAATCCGTCTTTCTGGAGTGAAGCCTGAATTTCTGCAGTTCAAACAAGCTCTCTGGTGCCTTGATATGCCGCCCCAGGACCATGCTTTGAAATTAACCAGTCTCCAGAAAAGACTTGGAAGAAATAGAAGACAGGCATAAATCTAGAGGCAGAGCTTTTTCGTGAGTTCTAGATTCACAAAGGCCAGGTCTTGGGGGTTTCTAGCAGGGGAGATTCTAAACATTTTCCAAGAAGGTCACAGAAGCACAGAAAAGGCAGGGCACCGAAGACTGTTTGGCTAGAAGCTGCCTGGTTTGAAAACGAAAGTAAAGCTGGGTTCAGCCAAGGGAATGGGTGAGTGTTAAAATGAGCCATCTCTATGCTTAGCACCCTCCTGGGCAACCACGAGAGCCTGGCGTCCTGAATTGTTTAATAAGACCCACTTCCCAGGCTCCCTTGACTTTCAAGCTAACACCTCGCGGAGGTGACTAAGCGGTAAGCACGCACTGGAGTCGCACCTAGCTCCACCGCGGCAGCAATATTATCTGATTGGAGATGATCTTCATAAAGGCTGGGGGACAGGAGTATTGGCTAAGTTGGTTTCAGTGAGACTTTCACGAAGCTCCTTAAGCAGTTTGCCGCGTAGCAGGCAATATCCAGCCTTCCTCCCTCTGTGGCGTGATGCAGGGGCTTGGAGTTTCATTAGCCCCAGCTTAATTTTTACCAGATCCCTACTGAGCATACACAGAAGCAATTTTTTTAATTGGCTATTTTTTTTTTATATTTTGTGCTTTTCTTTCTTCTTCTTTTTTTAAATTGAAGAAATACTATTGCACAAGGGAGATGAGTCATTGGTGAAGTTTGAAGTTTTATTTGTCAGAATTTTTTAAGGCATTATGGTAAAGCATATCTTCTCTTTCTTAGACCTATAGAATTTAAAAATATATATGTATCTTTTAAGGGTGGGGAATATCTTTGTATAACAAGATAAAGAAAAACTAGCTCTAAAATAATTTCCCAAACTGTGGTATATATAAAATTGCATCATTCATTCCTTTGCCAAATAAGGTATAATTTTAACGTCTAGAAATGATAGCCACGTACTTTGTGCTTATCTTGAAAACATCTTTTCTCTAACTGAAAAAAAAAGAAACAGATTATCTTAATCATTTGTATCATTTGTCAGCTGCACACTTGAGGCAATTAATCTCATTTTTAACTTTCTGAGTTTGTTGACACCACTTTGTTATCAGATAGCCCTCCTTCTCCCAGAAAAGGAAAATTTTCTTGTTGGTGTTCAGTCAGTACATTCTGCAGGGTTGTTTTCCTAGTTCTCATCTGCACTTCCCATGTTGAGGAGTGTTCCTACTTCTTTTCTAACATTGAAAACTTAATGTTATTTTAAAATGTCCCCTGTCACAGCCTAGATTCTCCGGAGAAACATATTCCATTCCATAGAATGGGCATTTTTGCAACTTAATATCTTACATTTGATTACCATTGGTGCATATTTAAATATTGTCTTGCTCATCTTGTTTATTACATATATGTATTAAAAACTAATAAAAGCAAAATAAGACAAAAAATGAACATTTCATTTTGGCATCCTCCCTACTACAAAACCCTGCAGATGTTTGGCTGCCTGTGATATATTTTGGAGGATGGAATTTGCAACTGTTATAATTAAGAAATACCATTAAGTCACCCGAGAGTAAATTAGAAACTAAACTGGTGCTGTGTGCTCAGGAACCCAAGATTATGGGCTGAGATCTCTATTCAGTATCTGAAGTCAGCTCCCTTCAAATTGATTCTGAAATAAAAGGTGTTATTTCTGTTCCCCACCTCCAAAATACATAAGTGTATAAAACATGTCCCTAATATTGATTTGGCATGCCGGTTGTAATCTTAAATTGTAGGGGGGAAATGTTTTCGTAAATAGAGCTATTTCTGTTTTGCTACTACTGTTTCAGTTGTAATGGGCAAGAGAAATGTGTAGGTCTGGATTATTTCCAGGGATTTGGCCGAGATCCATGAACTCAGTTGTGGTTTAAAAAAAATGGAAAGAAAGAAAGGGGGAGAAAGGAATCTTAGCACATCCTGTTGCAGTTAGAATTAGATAAAGGTAATGTCATGTCTCAGAGTTTTCCCTACATAATACCATCTAGAAAGACACAATCAAATCCCAGCAACCCAAGATACAAATTGTCCGTAATAGGAATAGAACATTGATACAATAGCTGTCATAAAAGGCAGCTTGAACAACCTATAAGCTGATACATTTAGAATCTTAACAACTAAAAACTTGTTAATAATTACCTAATAAAATTAAACTAGATAATCTTGAACACAGCACCAGGCTAAACTCCTCTTTAACAGCAATTTAAGTTGGTTAAACTAAGACATAAAGGTCCAGTCCCTCGCTACTAGCTGCTCAAATTAATGGTCTTTGACACCAGCCCCTTGCTACTCCGGGTAATGCTCTTTGAAAGCCCTATTAAGAGCACAGGCTGGGAGTTTGTTGGAAATGCAGAATCTTGACCCCACCCAGGACCGAATCTGTATTTTCACAAGATCCCCAGATGATTCATTCATATCTTTAAGGAGAGAAGCACTGATCTTGGCTTCCTACCTGTTTTCAGGACCCAGGTCAGCCCAGATTCACAAAGGCTTTAGTCACAGGACAGGGGCAGCTTTTTTCTACTTCCCCACTTGTCAGTCATTTCCTTGACTTTCATGACATGGCTTATCTCCCTGAAGTCACTGCCTTTCAACAGTTTCCAAGAATTCTTTACAAATACCACTGGTGTAGAGGATTGGATCCCAGCTCTTCTTTTCAGTAGAGCCACTTTTACAGAGCTCCTCACAGACACGCTGACAAGATATTGATACTATACATTTTCAGAGTAGTTCTCAAACTGATCTTTCCACACCTGAACTGTTGTTAGGATGGCTTGCTTTTCTCCCCAGACTTGACGTATGCCTCCCCTGATCTAACAATCTGCTGCAACTTGGCAGCCTGAGTTTATCAAGTTTTCTATTCTTTCAGTTTTTCTTCTACAGATGTACTCTGATTTTCTTCTTCGTTCGTCTGGGATTAATCAGTTTGGAGGCTTCCCTCATGGCTCAGGAGTAAAGAATCTGCCCACAAAACAGGAGACACAATGTAGGAGAGACAGTTTGATCCCTGGGTCAGGAAGATCCCCTGGAAAATGGAATGGCAACCCACTCCAGTGTTCTTGCCTGGAGAATCCCATGGACAGAGGAGCCTGGCAGGCTACAGTCCATAGTGTCACAAAGAGTCTGACATGACTGAGCACATTGACCAGTACAGTAACTGG